AGCGGCAGCGGAGACGGGGGTGAGGGGTGGCTCGGGGGGAGCCAGGAGGCAGGGCAAGGCCCAGGTGTTCTGGTGGCCCTCCTCCCAGCGGAGGCTCCCACCCAGCTGAGGGGAGGGAGCTTCCGAAGGGAAGCTCCCGCCGCTCAGCTGGGGTTAAATGGTGGTGGTGGCCTCCGAAGGTACCGACGGCATTTTCGAGCGGGAAAATGCCGGCAGTGGCTTTGGAGGCCACCACCGCCGCCGGCATTTAGCCCCAGCTGAGCGCTGGGAGCTTCCCCTTCGGAAGCTCCCGCCGCTCAGCTGGGGGAAAATGGGGCTATGGGGAAAAATCGCTAAATGATTTTTCCCCATAGAAAACATCGCAAGGCGACTGCTTTTGCGATCGCAAAGACATCGCTATGCGGATTCGTCGTTAAACAGGGCACCCGTTAAGCGAGGCACCACTGTATTTTGAATGCCTTTCTTTTGAATGTTTCCAGCAAAAATAAAACTGGAAGCAAAAACTCCCGGCCTCTTAAGGAGCCAGGTCTTTCGGTTGAAATTGGGAGCAGGGAATCTCCATATTCTCCAGCATGGGACTACTCTACATTCTCCTACAGAGCTATATCTCTATGTGCCACTCGAACTCTCTGAGAGTGGGGGGGACTGAGGGTAAGGAGGTAAGGAGGGAGAGAGGGAGCTGTGGCTTGTCAAGCAGAGTTTTTTCACTTGTCACAGACGAGTGAATTTTTCAAGCCCTGATCATCAGACTTACACAGAATCTGTTTAGTATATTTAATTTTGTAATCAGACAAAACATAATACATCTTAGATGTATCAATTAGTATAATATCATTTCTACATTAATACATTCTTAAAGCCATTTTTCGAAATACACGTACACATGTGTTTTCAAAGAAAAGCCATTGTAAATAAAAAATTTAAGACTGTCTGTTCAGTGTAAAACAGCTACTGATTATTACATATCTTTTGCAGTCCTTAAACAGAGAGAAGGGGGTATAAATTAAATGGACAGACTTGGAAGCATTAGGGCAAATGTTATCATGAAGTCCTGAACGTTTGATTCCCTACCAGAATACAATGTTCCTCTCCATAAGACTTTTTTTTAGCATCCAGGCTTTCAATTTAATTGTAACATCAGAAAAAATGTTTTACTGCAAATAATAAAACAATCCTCACATCAATGTGCATAATTTAAAATTTTTCCAACTACAAGAAGTACATTTTTGCTAGTATATGAATAGCTTTGTCATCATAGCTGAACACAACACAACTAAATGAAACCATACAGATGCCAGTTTAAATGTAAGTTAAATACTAATGCATACTTATGCAAAATCCTTAAAAATGAGCATGAAATCTAAATGCTTACCTCATCATACATGAACTGCAGAGTTAATGCAGATTTTCCTACACCTCCACTGCCAACCATGATTACTTTGTGCAAGGCCAAAGAATTTTGACTTTTGGGCTTATTCGCTGCCATTTTTGGATTGCAGAGATTTCACTCAAAGAAAAAACCTATAGGAAAACATATATGTTATATCAGTAAGGATTTTAATAATTTCATAGAAAGATTCAATTTATTTCAATAACTGGGTGTGAAAGGTCAACAGCCACTGTGCATACAATATAACAACGATTGCTTACAATGGCTACAGCACTAATTAGTGAAAACACAACCTGCCAAGTGTAATACGAAAAAATGAAACAACTATTTTAAGGTATGAATGACTTTCAGCTCTAAAGCAGAGGAAAAATTAAGGAAATGTTTTACAAAAATTGGCTAGAAACCTACTGATGATTTAAGCTTGCATAAGGGAAATCATACATGTTTTAACAGTAAACTGTAATTCAGTAATGAGGTGCTGGCTGTGTGTATGACCATGAATGCAACCAGCACATTCTTAATGAGTGGTAATTTACCTCCACAATTTATGAAGATTTGCTTATACAGGTATAAACTGCCAATGAGATGCTGACATCCAATATCAAAGTGTTATATTAAATACCATTAAGAAAAGAAACGGATAGGCCCAAATGGAGCAGTTCTCTACTGATGCAGATATTATACTGCTGAGCAAGATTTGTGCTCATGGACAAATTCAGAATGCTGAATTTGATGGAGATGGAGAACTTTAAGCAAGAGAGCTATAGGCACAGAAACTGCACAGTAAAAAGAAGACTGCAATGCTATAACCAACGTAAGAATAGTCACTGTGTCAACAGTTTAAATTAGTACAAAAGCTTCTATTTCTAACATAGTTTACAGGTATCTTACTATTGGCCTGTAAGGCCCAAACTATACATGATCTTAATCTCAGGTATCCTCATTTGTATCAAGACTTTATGATGAGATGCAAACCGAGGGGCTTCATCCTCTTCCCCCGGCTGTGGTCCTAAACCAGATGGGGAATCTGCCCCTACAATTTATACTGAAAAAGTAGTCCAATAGAAGAGAATGGAATTTTTGTTTACAACTCAAATTGCAAGGAAGAGGGTAATCAAGACTAGAGATGGTTCAAATAATTATGGACCACCAGAACATTTGATTAGTAAACAGTTTTGTTTAGCAAATTGAGAAGCAAACATACTAAATTACTTTATACTATACCCAGGACACTGGAAAAACATCACTGCAGACAAGACACACATAGACAATGACACTTCCAAGCTTGAAATTGTATAATGCTAGAATATATCTACTAAGTCACATTAAGAACAGAGGTACATATGTTACACACAACTGAGAAACACAGGCATTTCTTTTAAAAGGTGCGTTCTATACATATTTTTAAAAACGGATTTACTTTGAAAAAATGTTCAACTTACTTTTGCAGTGATATTAGAAAATAAGAAAGGGGAAAGCAAGGATCAAAGCGATCCTGCAGTGCTTTGATCCCTGCTTTCCCCCTCCACTTGCTAAGCCCTGCTTAGATTTCTTAATTTTGTGTTAGAAAGGGGGGTCTTATACATGGGAAAATACAGTATATGAATGTAACTAAGGAAACTAAGCTGAGCATTGTAGCAGTAAATAATGTACATCTATCAATCCAAATGCCTCCTCTCCAAAACTCAAAATTGGGGGGGGGGGAATACAAATATGGATGTAATTTTTTATGTTAGATCTGCTAAGGGTTTTAGCCTAACAATATATCTTTAGTACCAGTTTCTAATTAATAAAAATATTAATAAGGGTCCCTTTCAATAAATATTTTGAGATTTATTTTTTAATTTACTGGCTAAAACCAAGTAGCATAAATTTATATGCTACATAGGCCTCATGACATCATCAGCCAGGGCTGGATTTTGTTAAAATAAAGTTTCCTATCCCTCCCCACAACACCAAGGTTCTTTGGCTCCTTAGCTCCTGGGAAAGCCTATTGGGATAACAAAATGAAGGATAGGTCTCACACATCTGAAATTGATGGTCCCAGGACTCTGGAATCAGGGGAGGGTTCAGAAAAATGTTATTAACAAAATATGGCCAGAGTTCATCCATTATGCAACTTAACTTTCTGTTACTGGAGATCAGCCAGTGTGTCATCTTTTTCCATATCTATACCTGATCATCACTGGTATAAGAACTGGGTGAAACAGGGTAGATAAAAGTATTTAATTTTTAAAATCAAATTGATTTAAATTTAAAAAATGTTTTTTTAAAATTTTAAAAAATCTGTTTTTTAAATTTAAATCAAATCCACCCTAAGGCAAAATGAAGCACTATCTGCAATAACTGATCAGTTATGAGCTATATAACATGACCTGGAGACCAGTTCAGAGATAGTGAGAAAATGCTATCATTAAAACTAGGTATTGTATTGCTCACAGAGTTCTCATGTGCCAGTATCTCATGACATTTTAGCAGTAATTTCCATTGAAAAGTTAATCAGAAGGTCAGAAGGACAGAAAAATAGAAAGCCCACCTAGATAAGCCATAATATAGAATAATCTGATATTTTAAGGGCTAAAAACATTTTTCTTCTTTGTGGATATGGAACCAGTGTTCATGTTTCACTTATCCAAAATCTTGTTAGTCAAGCAAATTGAAGCCAGATTTGTTTAGCAACTGAAGAAAAGTTAAACTCCACCCCCCTCAGTTTTTGGTTTCTTTTCCCAGGATGGGGCACACCGGAGTTTCTTGTCTAGCCTAGAAACCCAGTTTGGCGGCGGACGAAATTGGCAATTATAGGCCCATTGCCAACGTTTCTTTCATTAGCAAAGTGGTGGAGAGGGTGGTGGCCGATCAGCTTCAGGCGCATTTGGATGAAACAAATGCCCTGGATCCGTTCCAGTCAGGTTTCAGGCCATGCCATGGTACAGAAGCGGCATTGGTCGCCCTGTATGATGACCTACGAAGGGATGCTGACAGGGGTAAAATGTCTCTGTTGGTCCTCCTCAATATCTCAGCCGCCTTTGATACCATCGACCACAGTATCATCCTGAGGAGGCCCTCCGAGTTGGGAATTGGTGGCTTGGCACTTGCCAGGCTCCGATCCTTCCTGGAGGATCGTCCTCAGAGAGTACAACTTGGGGAGAGTGAGTCGGCCCCATAGAGCCTCAGTTGTGGGATTCCGCAGGGCTCGGCTATCTCCCCAATGCTGTTTAACATCTATATGAGGCCACTGGGTGGAGTCATCGGGGGTGTGGGGCTTTGTGCCATCAGTACACTGATGACACCCAGCTCTAAATCTCCTTTTCTCCATCAACAGTGGATGTTGTTCCGTCCCTTCAGCGCTGCCTGGAGACTGTACTGCAATGGATGCAGGCGAATGGTCCTGAGGGTGGGTGGCCCCTCCATCGGTGGTTTGCAAAACTCCCTCGCTGCTTGGAGTCTGTGCTGCAATGGGTGCAGGAAAATGGGCTGAGGCTGAACCTGGACAAGGCGGAGGGCCTAAGGATGGGTGGCCCCACCGTCAGCGGTCTGGGAAACTCTCTCACATTTGGGGGGGTGACTCTTACTGCAAAGTGTTAGGTTCGCAGCTTGGGGATCCACCTGGACCTGGCACTCACCATGGAAACTCAGGTGGCGTCAGTGGTCTGTACTGCCTCTTTTCATCTTTGGCGGATAGCCCAGCTGCGTCCCTATCTTGATGTTGGGGCACTCACCACTCTGGTCCATGCACTTGTAATCTCGAGATTAGACCAATGTAATGCGCTCTACATGGGGCTACCTTTGAGACTGATGCGGAAACTCCAAATGGTGCAAAATGCGGCAGCCAGACTCCTTAGTGGAGTGAGAAAATATCACCATCTCTCTCCTACTCTGGCTGTGTTGCATTGGCTGCCAATTTGTTTCCTCGTTGATTTCAAAGTTTTAACGCTTACATAAAATCCCTAAACGGTTTAGGGCCTTGATACTTGGCAGAACGCCTACTCCCACCAAAATCTACCCTTATCACCTGATCTAGTCAGGAGGTGAGGCTGAGGAACCTGACACCAAGGGAGATCCGGAACAAAAAAACAAGAAACCGGGCCTTCTCAGCGGTTGTACCTCGTCTCTGGAATAATCTTCCTGAGATCCGTGCCCCCTCGCTGGGCATTTTTAAAAGCCAATTGAAGACCTGGTTCTTTAGGCAGGCCTTCCCTCCAGTTACTATTTGATTTATTTCTTCTTATTCTTTCCATTTTGAATAATTTGATTATTGATGTTTATAATGTTATTTTTATAATGTTTTATTATACATGTTGGAAGCTGCCCAGAGCAGTCAATCGATTAGATGGGCGGGGTAGAAATGCAATAAATAGCCTGAAAGCTTCTTCTGCTGTTATCTCAGATCACCGATTGAATATAAAATATTTTAAGGCATTTGAATTTTGAATACCATGTAGAATTAAAGTATAATTTGCCTGCCTACAAACTGTTGCACCTTTCTCCTGAATAAGAATGCCCAAAATTTACGCTTGCTTTCTATGCTTGTTTGGAAAATATTCAAAACACTAATTACATCTGGCCTTGTCAACACTGATGGTGACCCCAGTGAGACTCTGACTTCGGGAGTAGTGGTGGGAATCAGATCTGGATTGCAATTAAAAGTTTACAACTATCCAAGGTGTTGGACCCTATCCTTAGTACCTTGGATAGCTCCTTTAAAATTTGTATTTGTTCTTCAACCCGATTCATCACCCCTTAAAGACTGGAGTCATCAGTTTCCAATATGCTATCTTTCTACCCTACCATTGGAATATGGGCCTGGTGCCAAAAAGAGTTCCCTTATCTTGTGGTAAGAAATTAAAGCTAGCACACAGCACATTATATGTGGCACAGATATATCAGTTGATATACAATAAAATACAAAATATTTTGAACTAAACATTTACATTCAGACTGTACACATGTAACTGCTAAGAAGGCAGAACAACTTCATGTTGTTTTTATCAGGTACACACTGAGACAAGTTCTCCCTGTTGAAATATTTTCACTTAGCAGTTTCATCCAATACAGGATAATAAACTATGTATGAGACCAAGGGGAAAGAAGCACCTAGTATGCTGACATATAAGACTTGAAATACTTTAAAATTGCTAACTAAGAAAACATTTTCTGCTACATTAACCAAAGAAATGTGATGGAAAGCAATGTTCCTATCAAGTGTCTGAATAAGGGAGGGCAGAAGGCAGACTAGGGTCCACCAACAGATCTTCAAGCAACTTGAACTACAGAAGTAAGCATTGTTAGCTTATCATCCTAAATTATATGGCTAAATAAGAAACACTTGTGAAACTGAAGTAAACAAGAATGGATATTTGTTCAGTTCTGCTACTCAAAACAAATCCCTGGACTCAGGTCTTTATGTCTTTTCCACATGACTAAGAAATTGTTAAACCACTCTGAGTACTTTCCAGGTAGAAACTGCTGAGAAGGATAACCGTAAGTTGGAATCAACTTGAAAACATGCAAATAGTATCACTGATGGTAGGTCTCAGAATTCCACTTTTAAAAAGGCCAGCAAAAAGTCTGTTCACTTAAAATCCATTGTAAACAATTTTATAAACAACAATAAATAAAATTTGATTAAAAATATTTGTTCCTGGTCCTCTAAGCTACAGGTAAAGGAACATTTAAGAGCTATCAAACACATTTAAATGATAGCTCTAAGGCCACATCTTATTCCAGGCTGTAATGTTTAAATTTAGTAAACACATTTAAATATATACCAAAATATCCACTCCACATGACAATTGTTTGTGTTTTAGGTATCCCTATATTTATACAAAAAATTTGGGAGTTGCAGTACAGAAACAAAATTCCTGATCAGAACCTTGTTGATATGGTCTTGACTGCTTTATGCAACAACTTCAATAGTGATGTGCATTTCATAGCATAGCCTCAAGAACAGATAAACACAACTATCTGCATGCACAAAGAGACGCAGGCAAAAGAGCCAACTGTTCCCCCCTTCCAAAAAGACAGGACTATTGCCAGTTCTTTTTCCCAGAGCTATTAACAAAGGTATTGAATGAAGTATCAGCCTTCAAAGTTGCCCATACAAGCTCTTCCACAGAAGGAGGACACCAATTAATCCAAGACACCACTGCTTTCCATGGAAGAGCCTTACACCTACATAGTGGTATTCAAGTACAGGTCTTCATTATTTCCAAATAAAGTACAGCTGAACTAGTTAAAACAGCATATTATGTTATTAATTTACGAGTTCCTTTGAACACGCACACTGAGAATTCTAGCATTAAAGGGGGGGGGGAATCAGGACACTGAATATACTAATGTGTTATGTACAGCATGTGGTCCTGGAAAACCTGCCCATGAAAGAAATCAAAATATATTATTTGTTCTAAAATTAATGAACAGTACACCAAAAAAATTAAGGATTCTATATGCCTCAAAAAAGCTAATAAAAATTCTGCAAAGTTGTTAAAATTACTGAAAAATATTTCACACATATCAAAACCAAACACAACATAAAACTGGCCTTAAGCATATGTAAAACATGGTCTCTGAAAATTGTAGATATACATAATTTAAAAAACAATGCTGTAAATTTTTTAGAAAAGAGCTGGTAACCCTGAGGACTCCAATATATTTGGATTGTACCTCCTTTTAATCTGCAACCAAGATGGCCAATGGTTCTGTGTAAACTATAATCCAACACCTCACAAGCCTTAAATTCCTCAACCTTATTTTAGAAATGAGGGTACAAAACATTTATACAAACACTGTACTTTCAAAACCCTCTGACACATAATGTTCAGCATTTTTAAAGAAAGTACTGCACAGTGGTACCTCGGTTTATGAACGCCTCAGTTAACATAATTTTCAGTTTACAAATGAAAATCCATTGAAAATAATGCCTCAGTTTACGATTTTTTTCCCAATACGAAGCAAGTTTTCCCAGTTTGCCATGTTTTAAAAGTTGATGTTTTAAAAATTGAAGTTGGAAGTTTGAAGTATTATTGCTTGATTAGTTATGTCCCTGTACAGTATTTATGCCTTTAAAGTGCACTTTATAAAGAGTTTTGAACAGATAAAATACTTTTTTGGAGTTTTTTCTGACCTCCAGAACAGATTAATGAATTGGTTTTCAATGCGTTCCTATGGGAAACCACATTTCGGTTTACGAGTTTTTCGCAATACAAAATGTCCTGGAGAGCACATTAAATTCACAAACTGAGGTACCACTGTAGTTGGACATTTCGCCCCTGAAGCTACTGCTACAAGAAAACTCTTGCTAATCTCATGGAATTTACAAGAATTCTCTGTATTTTATAATTACTTCTACTTTTGTGTAGACGAAGTTTACAAGTTATGTAAACATTTTCACAGCATACAAAAAAAATACTGAAGCAAATGATAAGCATTTTCCACTGAATAAATTAAATAGAAATGGTTTAGTATATACGGAAAAATCATAATATTTTAACTCAAGGACCTCTAACAGCAAATTATGAGAAATAATTAAAGATGACTGACATTTTCAGTATAAGGACCTAATAATACAATTACACGTATATTATATCCATAGTAAAAGTCCTGTTAATTCAGACAGGTCTACAACATGATTCTATTCAACAAGTCTTACTCTGGAAGTCCTAGAAAAATGGGCAATCCTTCTGCAGGACAAAAGAGCACTTGTGTTCAATGCCATTTAATGGTATGAAGCTATCTTACTATGTGTTCATCAGACTCTTCATGATAAAAGTTGAAAGCCCCTGCACAGCTACCAATCTGAAATTAAATCTATAAATAATTTACACCTCAAATTCCATGAGCCGTGCCTATAACAGCTTTCCTGCACTTAACTGGTTCATTTTTTTGCAATCAATCAATTTTTAGAAATCCAAAATGTATGTTCCAAAACTTTTATACCATTGTAGATAGATACACAATAAAAACCTTGCAAAAATCATTTAGATTCCAGCCATCCTGTTCTCTCAAGAGTCTTACTTTAAGGGAAGCAACCAGGAAAACATGAGTTTGTCTCATCCCTAGACTAGAGCCTGCATTTAGGTCACAGAAATTTAACTCAACAAACTGAAAGCAATAATAAACAGCTTCAAATTCAAATAAATTAAGTAAAATTACATATGCCAACCAACAGATGTTGGCCATCTGAAGTTAAATAGAATCTACATGATAAGATGCAGTGTACTGTACCTGCCTCCACCTGCAAGGAGAACTCAGGCCTGTGAGCTTCCTAGAAACATCTCATTAGTCACGACCAGAAATAGGACACTGACCTGGAAGAACTCCTGGTCTGACCTACCTATACACCACTTTTTTCCCCCACTTCAGAACCACGCCTGCCTGCCTCCCTCTCTCCCCAGCAAGGGCCAATTCCTGGGGAAGCGGCCACAGAAACACGGAGGGTCTTCTCCCTGCAGGCCAACCTCCTTTCCTCGCTTAAGAAATTGAGCATTGCGGATAGAGAGCGGAAGAGGCCGAAAGATAAGCCTTTCCCAAAGGAAGGCGAGCAAAGCAGCAGCGCCGGAGAACCAAACCCCACCCCACCCCCGAGAAGCCTCCCTTATATCGACTCCACGTAACACGAGCAGAGCCGCCGCTTCCTCCGCCAGCTCCACCCAACCTCGGCCGGCTCACCAGCCACCTCCAGAAAAGAACACGGGAGGCGAACCAGGGCCGGACAAGAGGGAGTGTCACGGCGGCCGCCCCAGACAGAAAAAGGGCGGCGGGGGGAGAGGGAGAGAGGCAAGGACAAGGGAACCGCCAGAAAGCGAACAGTCGCCTTCCCAAAGCAGGAAGGGCTATTTAGGCCTCCGGAGGCTCCGCAAAAAAAGCGACCCCTCCCCCAA